TGGCTGTAGGTCTTAGTATCTATTTCCATTAGTTTCTGAGTGAAGAAGCTTTTGATGACAGTTGGGCTAGGCATCCATCTACAAGTATAGCAGAATATCATTAGGAATCATTTCATTGACTTTTTTTCCCCATTCATGTTTGGTTCTATCCTAAGTCTCTAACCTTCCAGCCTCTGGGTCCTGAACCTCCAGGCAGTATAAGGGGTGGGCTCCCTCCCATGGTATAGTTCTCAAGCTGGACCAGTCATTGGTTGGCCACTCCCACAATTTCTATACCACCTTTACCCTAGCACATCTTGTAGGCAGGACAAATTTTAGGTCAAAGGTTTTGTGGCTGGGTTGGTGTCCCAATCCCTCCACTGGAAATCTTGCTGATAAGGCTGAAATTTTAACTTGGGAAAGTTGTTTACATTCCCTTGTCTTTGGGTTCTTCATCTACAAATCAGACATTAGCAATAGAGGAGTAGTTAATAGCACACATCTGAGCCATACTTTCTCCATTCCAAACAGACTGAGCATAGTCTTCTGTGTTTCCGTGAAAGGGGGAGAACAAACCGTTGGAATATGGCCGAGTGTATAGAAAGCACTCAATTCAGGTTAGCTGTTATTGAGTATGAAAGATGATAATTACTATGAAAAGTTGTTTTGAGAACAAATTAAAGTAGTATGAAGTCCACACCACAATGGTTAAGCATACAGCAGGGTATAATTATCTATAAGGATTAAATCCTTTTCATGTTTTGAATTATTTGGCATTTCTTGTGCTACCTTATTATGTAACTCTGACATGTCTAAGGTATTTTTGTCTGAATGTTATGTACCAGTCATGCCAGGGATATCCCTTCTCCTCTCTCTAGTCCTCTTTTCTCAATATTCTGGCATTATTGGTTTTTTTTTTTCCTTTAAAATTTAAAGGAAATTTTATGTGGTAAGTTGGACCATTAAAAAGATTAGCCTCATTCATAAGTGTCTGAGTCCATCAACAGATAATCATTTTAGACATTTTTGTTAGAGTTATAATTGTTTTAACTCATCCAAATTATCCATTTACAAGTTTTAAACATTTATAATTACTTTTGAATATCAATATTATAAAAGCCAGCATATTGGACTTTGTAGAATATTTGTATTTTATTTACATTTTTATTACTTTGAAAATTTCTTTAGCTAGCTGCCTAAATTTCTCTATGGTCTCTTTTAAGGTTTATTTTTATTACTTCATGTGCATGTACATGCGCACTCACATGTGTGTGTCTATGTGCCCATGAATGCAGATGCCTGTGGAGTCCAGAAGAAGGCACTCGACCCCCTGGATCTGCAGTTACAGGTGGTTGTGCTCCACCTGATGTGGGTGCTAGGAACTTGAACTGGATTCTCTGCAAGAACATGCTTCTAACAACTGAGCCATCTCTCTAGCCCCATTCTCTCTATAGTCTTTGGTTCCATTAATTAGCTTTATACATTAATGTGTTCAAAACTGTAAAATACCTTTTTTTAGTTTTTCTCCCCCTACCAACACATTAACTTTTGTCATTTAATTAATTAGCTTTGGATAAAGCAATCAGATGGGATATAGATTGGTTAAAGCTATTTTGTATTGTTTCTAACTGTTACTTTCGGTGGCTAAAACTTCTTTGTAGGTAGTCACAATATATTGAAATACAAATGCATGTTGATTTTATTTTTACCATAAAGTGTGTACTCTATGGGAAAATAACTATATCCTATTGAAATTCAGTGGTACCCCAGAAGACTATGTCGGGTTTTTGAGAGAACACTCCTGTCCTGGAAGAGGCCTACATTGGTGATAAACAAGTCAAGGCCAACCTTGGGAGAGATTCTTGTGTCTAGGATATGATGTGTATTTTGGATGGGCAAAATATTAAAACAGATCCTCTGGAATTAGACCACTATGTAGGTCAGTGGTAGCATTTTCTAGGTACTACAGGGTCTTCTTTAGCCCTTACACTAACTGAAAATTGACAACTATAAAACAGGATATAAGGTCTGAGTAACCCCCTCTGCAATTGTTCACTATTTAAAGAACCTTTAGAAGGATATAAGTCCGATCATCATACCTACCTGTACATCTAAACTGTAAAACTGCTTTTAACTCTGAGGGCATGGCTTTAAAGGGCAAGATGGTAGGGTGGAGATGTTAGAAAATTAGAGTGTGGTATCACTTTCTTCTTTTTGAGAAAACCAGTATAAATTGAATACTATGAAGCATTCATGGCAAAGGGGTGATTTAGAGTTCTCAATGACAAAAGCTGGTGACAGTGATTAATGGCTTGAAAACCATTCTGAAGAAAACTGACTAGGAAATTATTGTAGTACATGTTATAAGGGGAAGACCATCTGGAGTTATGTCAGAAAACAAAGAAGAAAAATATGTCTATATATACACCCATGTGTGCATGCATATGAATACTTATATATAAATAAGTCTCTACATATAGATCTGATAGTTATGTAAACAAAATTTCCCAAAACAGGCCTGGTTTTATTTTTAAGAGTGGTTTATTGGTTGAGGAGATAGCACTGTCCATAAAGTGCACTGTGCAAACACCCAGGCCTAAGTATGATTTCCCAGACCTTTAAAAAGCCACTTGTGCTGGGCGGTGGTGGCGCACACCTTTAATCCCAGCACTTGGGAGGCAGAGGCTGGCAGATCTCTGTAAGTCTGAGGTCAGCCTGGTCTGCAGAGTGAGATCCAGGACAGCCAGAGCTGTTACATAGAGAAACCCTATCTCAAAAAAAAATCGAGGAAAAAAAAGCCACTTGTGGGGGCTGGAGAGATGGTTCAGTAGTTCCAGAGGACTAGGGTTCAATTCCTAGCACCACATGGCAGCTTACAACTAACTGTCTGTAACTCCAAATCTAGAGGCTCTGACATTCTCAGCACAAATACACAGGTAGGTAAAACACCAATCAATGCTCATAAAAATAAATAAATTATTTTTTTTTAAAAAAAGATGGTGTCTCAAACAAACAAAGCCACTCATGGTAGAGTATGCTTATAAATCCAGTGCTGGGGAAGCTGAGATAGGACCAAAAAAAGCAAGGTGGGGGCCAGTGAGTTGGCTCAGTAGGTAAAGGTTCTTGCCTGTAAGCCTGATGGCCTAAGTTTGATCCCCAGATCCCACAGTGGAAGGGGTAAACCGTCTCCTGAAAGTTTTCTTCTGACCTACACATGTGTACAATGGCATGCATGTGCCCACACTTCACACACATGCATTATGTGAGCACTTGCACACTCGGTTGTGCTTTTGCATGCATGCGCACGCGTACATACACACATACACAACCATCACCATGCAGTTCTTGTTAGCTGTATAGCAAGCATCTGTAAAAATATATTAGAGTAATCAAGGAATAAGAGCTAGTTAATGAAAAAGACTTAATACCAAGATAGAAGTTTGCTTTTAGAGGGACAGTGTTAAAATGTTGAGAGTTTTTGAGTGAAGGAGGCAGCTGTCTTCTATCCAGTGGAATTTAGACAATGTTCTTGCCTACATATTATCTTCATTTAAGGTACTGAAATTAGTCTGAAAGAAAATTGCCCTTATTGGCCTGTATGCCCAGATAGTTAGGTCTTAGGGAAAGGGAGCCTGGATAAGAGAGTAGGTCAATGGAAGATGTGTAAATGTATCTGATTACTAATAACTAAGGAGAGAGGACAGATAGTAAACAGTGAGTGAGTGTAAGATCCTAGAGAAGTCTAGTTTGAGAAGTTTCTCAACCAATGCATGGATTTAACTGATGAGTAGCAAGTCAGGTGGCATTCAGCTTGTATTTTACTGGCCGTACCTTCTTCATTTTCTCTCCTGAGGAAATGCCCTGACATTGACTCTAGTGACAGAGAGGCAGTTAAGTAATCTGGGATCTGAACATGATTTTGTTTTATATCCCAGCAGCTATAAAATCAATGAAGAAAACTCTAGATTCTTTTTTTTTTCCTCTAAGGAAAGTAAATAGCTTCTTTACATTTCTTTAGTATAGCTATAAATTAAAACTTTAAGGATTGTTTCATTTTCATCCTTTATTTTCATCAAGAATCTAAAAGGTTTCTTTTTAAAAAATAGCTATAAAAGAATGTAGATGGCCGGGCGGTGGTGGCGCACGCCTTTAATCCCAGCACTCGGGAGGCAGAGCCAGGCGGATCTCTGTGAGTTCGAGGCCAGCCTGGACTACCAAGTGAGTTCCAGGAAAGGCGCAAAGCTACACAGAGAAACCCTGTCTCGAAAAACCAAAAAAAAAAAAAAAAAAAAAGAATGTAGATGTAACCAATGGTCTTATTAAATAAGAAACACAGAGCCGATTCAGAGAAGAAAGCCAAGAGGTCAGAGCTAAGAGCCTCACCCTTCCTGATTTAGGGATCCTCTTCAGCCAAGAGAGCTCTCCGAAAAAAGGGACCTACTTCCTGTGTGTGTCTTTATATAGTCTAGCTGTTCTGCCTTCTCATTGGTTGTAAACCCAAACATGTGACTGCCTCGTCACTGCCTGAATGTACCGCCCTCCAGGTCCTTAAAGGCGTGCGCCACCGATGCCATGCACTTGCTATGGCTCTAATAGCTCTGACCCCCAGACAACTTTATTTATTAACATACAATTAAAATCACATTTCAGTACAAGTAAAATACCACCACAAAAGAATAAATAACTGTAAAAAGGAATTTATAATTCTCTTGAGCTACTGCCAGTAGCTCACAGTGATGACAAAATTTATGTATAGGAAAGTTGATATCAGTTGCTGAAGTTTAGTCTAAGAAACCAGAGTTTTGCTACCAACCAATTATTTGTATTCCTGCAGAATGACTTACATGTTATACCAGTGCTTTCTTTTATCCTAGAGTTACTTAAATAAGATATTGTCACTAGTGGTATATATCGTATAAGATAAATTATATTCATATTTAATTTAGTCTCAGCCTTTTTTCAGTTATGTGATTTGGGTATTTCTATTAAGTGTTGCTCTTTGTTTAAATAAAACCCCACAGGAATTAAGTCAGCAAATAGAAAAAACAAAAGAAATGAAAGAGCGTGAAAAAAGAAAGATAATTGCTGAAGAAAAGCACAAGGAATGGGTTCAGAAGAAAAATGAACAGGTAAGAAGAAAAACAAAAGCATGTATATACTTCGAATCTTTACAAAGTCTTTCTTTCTCCCCCATTATCTAAGACTGTTTATCTGTTGCTTTTTTGTTTTTGTTTTTTTTCTACTTTCATAGACACTTACCAAGTGTCTGTCTTCTGCCCTTTGCCTTCTCCACTTCCTGTGGCTTACACTAGTGTCTGCCTGCCATCACTAAGTCTGTCTTTAGTGGAATTAGTGAAATATCAGGGTCTTGGAGCAACCAATGACAAGGTGCCTTTGCCCCTTCATAGAACTAGAGCTGGACTTTGTTTGTACCACCAGCTCCTGAATAATGACACAGAGACTTCTTATTCAGTATGAAAGCTTGGCCTTAGCTTAGGCTTGTTCCCAACTAACTTAAAATTTAAATTAACCCATTTATATTAATCTACATTCTGCCACGTGGCTCATTACCTCTCCCTAGTACCATACATCCAACTTCCTCTGCATCTGGCCTGCAAATCTTCCGCACCTCCATTTCTTTCCCAGAGTTCCTATTTCTCCCCAGAAGTCCCACCTATCTTCTCCTGCCTAGCTATTGGCTATGCATCTCTTTATTAAAGCAAGCAGAAGGTGCCTTAGGCAGGTGAGGTTAAACAAACATCTTCACACAGTATACCAAAAGATTACCCCAGCCAAGAACCTTTCTTCTAGCTTCTTTATTTTTCTTACTACTTCTGTCTCCTCCATCACTGAGGCATAATCAGAATTCTTGTTGCTAAACATCTCCTTTTTATGATTGCTTCTGAGTAGTCTCATTGCCTCTTGAACACCATTGTTTCCTCCCCTGCTCTAGAACATAAGCTCAAGGTCTTCTGTCCAGTTCGGCAGCATCTTTTATTTTTTTGTGGTGCAGGTCAGCACCATAAATGAGTTACCCAGAAATGATACTGAGTGAATAGCATCATCCTCTGTCGCTGCCGGATTAGTCTTGCTGAAGTCTGAATGCTGGCCCCTAGTTTTCATGTCTCCTCTCTGTCTTCTGAATGAGATGTTTAGGCCTCCAGCCTGGCCGGCTAATGCACTGCACTGTGTTCTCTGATCCAGACTTCCCCTTAAGGATTTCTCCCAATTGTGCTTCTCTTAATCTATGATGTACCATTGCTGGGCTTCTCTTGGAGAGCACATGAGATAGCCACAGCCCATCTTCTTCTAGTATAGTTATAATGAAAAGTTTTGAGAGAAAAAATGACTTATATGAAATTTAACACAGATAGGAAATAGAGTATTATTTTTCACAATGGTGAGGATTTAACCGATGGACTCACATATGCTAGGAAAGTCTTTTTACTTTCCATTATAAATTTTGTAATTTTAAGATATAAGTAGCTTTTTTTTTTTTTTAAAGAAATTTAGTCTAGAGCTTTGGCTGTGATTTCTAGCCTCCAGGAATATATACCCCTGACAAATTTTTGAGAGTGCATCATTTCTTACTGTTTTTCATTTCCCGGTTTTTTGTTTTGTTTTTGTTTTTTTTAAGTGTACATGTACACACACACACACACACACACACACACACACACACACACACACACACACACGGAACTAAAAGGAGGTCATCAAAACCCTTAAACCTGGAGTGACATGCCTTATATAGGTTCTGGGAACTGAACTCTGGCCTTCTGAAATAGTAACAAAAGCTCTTAACTGCTGAGACATCTCTAGGCCCCTTGGTTTTATTGTTGTGTTTGTTTTTAAATGCTTACATCAGACTTTATTGAGTTCGCTTTCTTTTTTCCATTTATTTACTTTTTGACAATTTCATACATGATAACCCATTCTGACCACACTCATCTCTCTCCCCTCTTTTATCCTTTTCCCACCCTCACCAGCTCTCCCTCCACTGAATTCCCATCCCTCTTTCATGTCTTTTTATTTTGTTTTTGCTTTGTGACCCACTGGGTTTGACAAGGGTCACTCATGGGGTTGAGTAGGACACCATCCTTTGAAGCATGCGTAACTAGCCAGTTGCTATCATTGAAATAATGATTCCAACTCTTCTGGCATTTTGACTGCTCTTAGTTCCCCTGAGCAGGGCGGGACAGGCCTTATGAACCATGCCCTCATCTCTTGTTGGATTAGTCTTATATGGATTGTATGCAGGCAAGCAGACGTGCCGTGCTCATAAGAGCATTTCATAGCCCTCCTAACTATGGTTCATCTCTTATATCCTTTCCCCCCCTTCTTGCTCAGTGTTCCCTGTGCATATATATGAATGTCTCCTTTAATACTAAGCACTCACAGTCATTTGTTCTCAGCACTGACTAGTTAGTGACTAGTACTTAACTGCTGTTAGCTACAAAGAGAAACTTTTTTGATGAAGGCTGAAGACAGCACTAGCGTATCACTATGAACATAAATATTTAAGAGGCAGTTTGACAACATGTCCAATAAGTAAGACAGAAGTCATAGGTTCATCCCCAGTGCCTATGAACTTCCCAACCATGTGCCTTTGACAAGGTCCACAGCTCTCTCTTATGGAGCAGGCCTCAGATACAGCACAAAATAAATTGGCTACCCATGTAACAGTTGAGTCACTACCAAACTAGTAGGCACCTCTTCCCTGACAAGTTAGTAATATAGTACGTAAAGTCTAAAACTTGGGAAGACCATTACTGACTCTTCTACCCCAGTTGCTCACATAGCAGCCGTGCACTGTGAAGCTTAGACAGCAGGGAGGACACTTCTACCTCAGTCCAATATGGTTTCTTGGTATTCTGCAACCAAAGTGTATGGTGTCTTCAGCAATAGGGTCTTAATATCCCACTGTGGTGGGCATAATCTATATAGTTTGAAGGCCTCTGGGGCCTTCCCAAAAGGCATCTCATACCTGGTGTTAAGGTTTTCTTTGAATAACCCAAGGCTTCTAGGATCAGCACATTCTGCCTATGCATAGTACATCATCAAGGTGGACTCTCCCTTGATATGTTAGAAATTCTTTCTTATGAATCTGTTCAATTCACATCATTGTTAGTGACTTTGCTATATATTCTCCCTGTGTATGTATGTATTTGCCAGAAAAGCCTTTTTATGTTATATACATATCTTCACTTCTCTTTTATTTTTAAGATCCTTTAAAACATGAATTATTTTATCTATTATTAGTTTTAGCATAATTTTGAATAAATATTTTTCCTTCTTTTGTATGTGTATATATTGTGTTATATGTGTATAAATCCCTGGGCCTCATGCATGCTAAACAAGTGCTCTACCATCCAGTTACATTCCCAGCTCTCCTTTTATTTTATTTATTTATTTTTAAATAGGCCCTAATAATTGAACCCAGGGCTTTGTGTTAAGCTAACACTGAACCACTGAGCTGTATACTCTTAGCCCCTATTTCAATTTTAATACATACTTGTGTTGAATCATATATCAGGAAGTTTTAAAGTACTGGAACTGGCCGGGCGGTGGTGGCGCATGCCTTTAATCCCAGCACTCGGGAGGCTGAGGCAGGCGGATCTTTGTGAGTTCGAGGCCAGCCTGGTCTACAAAGCGAGTTCCAGGAAAGGCACAAAGCTACACAGAGAAACCCTGTCTCGAAAAACCAAAAAAAAAAAAAAAAGTACTGGAACTGGGGGGTGTATTTCAGTAATAGAACACTTGCCTCAGTATGCAGACCCTGAGTTAGCTCTTCAACAAGCAAGCAAATGAGAGAGAGAAAGAGGTGGGGGAGAGAGAATAAATCAACAAAATGTTATTGTAAATTTGTCTTGTTATTTTATGTTAGGAATGGTGCTGCTTCATTGTTAAAAACTACTTTTATGAATTGAAACAAGTATTTAAATTGTAGGACAAAGATTTAAACTGTTTAATTACAATTCTGTCTTTATTGTTAAGTTTAATGTCCAGTTATACTACTAAAAGGACCAGTAGTTGCAGGTGGATGTGATTTTAAAAAGGAATTAGTTAGGTGTGTATATCTGCAAATTTCTTCCTTCAGACGTCAATTGTAGATTTTGTTTGCTTGCTTCTTCCAAAATATAACAAAATAGTGTTCTCTGTGAATAAATGCCAAGATCAAAGTAAGTATGTGACTATAAGAAAACTTTGGGTGATACCTTTTAGAAGTATGACTATCAATCAGAATAATTCTACCTGTGCAGAATGCTGTGTTTGCTCATCTAAAAGCCCCTCTTATCTTCAACTCCATTAAACTAATTTTGCCATGCCAATCATGCATGGTTATTATTTGTCTAAGAACAGAAGATAATACTGACAGATCAATGATATATTTGCTGCTTTAATTCATGGTGGAAGATCTAATCCAATTATTGGGAGAAAATAATTCTTTTTATTTTTTTCCTTTTGTTTTGTTTTGTTTTGGTGGGGAGCAGGGGGAAGAAGTAGCTTGCCCTGATAAAATTGCTATTCCAGAAGGTTGAGAACTGTTTAAAAATAAACCCTGAAAATTTGAATTTAACTATTTTTCTTTAGCAAACTTGTGCCTATTAAGGAATAATTGATTGCTGTTTTCTTTTCTCCTCTTCTTCTCCTCCTGCTCCTTCACCTTCTCCCTTTTCACCGTCTTCTCCTTCTCCTTCTTTCTTCTTCTTCTTTTTCTTTTAAACTACCGAGTTTCTTTTTCCAGCCTTCCCTACAGTTACCTCTGTTTGGAAAGACACTCTCCTCTCCTGCTTCTTTTCCAGTCTGGCATCTAGGATTTGCTCCTCTGTTTACATTTCGTGGTGTGTGGTCCTCTGCTGCCTAGGCTTCAGGCTCTTTCGGCCCTAGCCGCGGCCACCTCTGTCGTCTCCCTGTGCTCTATCAGAAAATCAGACCAAAAGAATTTATGTATCCATTAGCAAAGCTGGTTCCTTATAACTGTAAATTGTTCAGTCCTTTTTAAACACAGGGCACATCTCATCCAGAACTTTGATATTTGTGTTGTCATGCTAGTTCTTTTTCTAGACTCGGTTTTTAGTGTTAATACGTATTTTGTGAGAAAGGCCTAGGCCTTTATGTTCAGTGCTTTAAAGTTACTTAAAAATAGAATGAGTTTTAACTCTCAAACACAAGTGGTATTTTGTGTGAATTCCAGCTGCAGCTCAGTGAGGTCTATGACTGATGGTGCTGCTATCAGTGTGTCCTTCAAGACATCAGCTGATGTTTGCTCACCCTTTCTTCTGTGAGGGGCAGGCACTGTTAGAGGAAGCAGAGTTCACAGCCAGAAAGTCGTAGGCAGTCTCATTGTTTTCTTCTGTAAAGCGCAGTGTGTGCCTGCTTATGTAGGAATCAGTGTGCTAGAAAACTCTGAAGCCACTTAGTGGTCTTCGCTCTCTGGGTAGAAAAGCACCTGCTCTGTTCCTCTGCTGTCCACAGGCATTCTGTTCTCTCTTTAGGTCCTGGGGACAGCCTGTCGAATTTTAAAAAATGGATGTATGCTTAGATTCCTTCCCTCCAGACTTGTGATTAGCATGTTAATTCCGAGTTCTGGATTCATTGTGTCATTTTTCTGCGTGCCTATAAGGTACTTGATCATGTCTAGTTCTCACTACTCACACTCCCCTGCAGTCTAGCTGGTGTCCTGTATCACTGGGCTACAGTTGGCATATACTGTATCAGTTGTAAGTTTGTGAAGCTTGATAACCTTATATACCAGTGCAGGCAACCCAGCAGCACCACAGTGAGGTGATAAGAGCATTGCTGTCATTCCAGAAAGTTCTCGATGTCCACCTACACTCAGCACCCTGCTCCTTACCCCAAGCTGGCCCCAGCAACAAGACAACACAGTAATCCTGTTCTGGAAATTAGATTTGCCTTTTCTAGAATTTCTTTAAATAAAACAATAGGGTATATACACCTTTGAGTTTATTTTCTTTTGTTTTTAATTTTATCATAGTATTTTATATATTCTTGATCCCTTTTTATTGTTCTAATATCCCGTGGAATAGCACAAATTGCTTATTCATTCACTAGCTAATAGGAAACTGAGTTGTTTTCAGTTTGTACTTAACACACAAATGATGTTTGTGTCCATTTGTCTTAGGCAAATGCTTCAGAGCTCAGTTGCTAGGCTACATGGAAACTGTGTTTTAACTCTCTGGGAATCACCAAACTTTTTCTAAAGTGCTTGTACCATTTTATGTTCCCATTATTAACACATGAAAGTTCGAATTGGTCTATGCCTTTGTCAGACTTGATCTTCTCAGTCATTTTTGTTTTAGTGTATAGTGATTTGCCATTGCTATTTTTGTTACCCTGAGATGTACTGGTGTTTAGCATCTTTTTTTTTTTTTTCTTTTGGTTTTTCGAGACAGGGTCTCTCTGTGTAGCTTTGGAGCCTGTCCTTGAGCTGGTTTGGAACTCACAAGAGATCTGCTTGTCTCTGCCTCCTGAGTGCTGTGATTAAAGGCGTGCACCACCACTGCCCAGCCTAGCGTCTTTTCTTATTGTATTAGTCTCACTGGGAGACTTATCTTCCTAGTCTAGCTAGGTGTTTTTTAAAAATGGAAGTTAATTTTCTTATGGCTTGGGAGCCTAGAAATCAAGGAAAGGATGTGCAGGTTTGGACTGTTCATTGTGTGTCTCCTTGGTTTGCAGAACAACTGTGTTTCTGGTCCTTGCTTGGCTTTCTATCTGTCCGCACTCCAATGTCATTTCCTTTTCTGATAAGGACACCAGAACTGTAGGAGACAGAGTCCACCATTATGACTTCATTTCAGTTCAGTTACCTTAAATGCAATCATGTTGGGAACAGAAATAGAGTGGAACAGAATTGGGTCAATGACACATTTTGACAATGTCTCTTTTGTAGTTGACTTTTTTGTTTTGTTTGGTGTATCTTTTGCCTATTTTTGGAAGGTGTTAAGAAGTTGTCATTCATGCAAAAACTTGGCTCAGTGACCTAGCTTATGCTTAGCATGCACAAAGGTCTGACTTTAATCTCCAGCCTCACCCTCTCTAAAGATATGAAAACAGGATTACATATCTGTTTGAGATGGGGTCACTGTGTTCCCCTGTAGTCTTTGAACTCCTGCACTCAAGCACTTCTCTCCCTCTTCTGAGCAGTTACTTCTATACACACTCAGCTACCATAGCTGTCCCTGAGTTAATTCACATGGATTTTGTTTGCCTATTGCTGGTGACTTAGCACACATGCCAGGCAAGGGCTATGAGAGAGATCTCTGGCCCTGGAACCCCTTATCCAGGCATAAGTACCCTGGCAGATATATGTGCTGCAAATATTTCTTACCATTTAACTTTTCTTTAAAAAGAAATTTACACACACACACACAATTTATGTATATGAGCGTTTTTTTCTATATATATATATATATAGAGAGAGAGATCTGTATACCACATGCATGCTCAGTTCCCAGAGACGCCAGCAGAGAATTGGATCTCCTGAAACTGAAGTTACAGACAGTTATGAGCTGGCATCGGGGTTCTGGGACTTGAACCTGAGTCCTTTGGAGGAACTGCTAGTACTCTTGACCACTAAACCATGTCTCTAGCTCCAAATTTTAATGGTTTATATTTTTGTCTTGTTTTGTTTTTAAGATTTATTTATTTATTATGTATACAGTGTTTTGCCTAAATGCCAGAAGAAGGCACCAGATCTCATTATAGATGATGGTTGTGAGCCATCATGTGGGTGCTGGGAATTGAACTCATGACCTCTGGAAGAGCAGCCAGTGATCTTAACCTCTGAGCCATCTATCCAGTTAATGTTTTTGTTTTAATTTTTAAAGCTAGCATACAAAATAGTGGGTCTCATGACAGTATTTTCATATGTATGAGTCAATGCATATTGTTCTAATTCATCCCCATTGCCTAACTGTCCTCCCTCTGCTCCAAGTCTGTCCTCTGGCTGGTTTGCTTTCTTCATATTACCCACTTCTGTTTCAGGTCAGATATATTCATTGCTCTCTCTTCTTCCTCCCATAAGATTATTCCTCCCGCCTCATGATCCCCTTTCTAGTTTCATCTCACACACACACACACACACACACACACACACACACACACACACACACAAACACACACCCCTACCTATATGATTTTACATCTAGGTTCCATTTATAAGAGTTGTCATGTGATAAATGCCTTTCTGAATCTAGCTTGTGATTTCTAATTCCATCTTCCTGAAAATGTTATATTTCATTTTTCTTTATGATGGAATAAAAATTTCACAGTGTGTCTGAGCCACATTTTCTTTACCTAGTCATCTTTTGATGGACATTTAAGCTAGTCCAAGTTTCCAGCTTTTGTGACTAGTGAAGCAGTAAACATGAATGTACAAGTACTCTAAGGTATTTTAACTTAGTCTTCTGGGTATATACCCACCAGTTAGCGATCTGGGTCATATTAGTTGTGTTTTTAGTTTTTTGAGAGGCCTCCAAGCTGATTTCCGTAGCGGCTGTACTAATTTGCATTACCACCATGCAGGGGGCTCCTCTTTCCCCACACCCTTGCCAGCATTTGTTTTCTCGATGACAGCCATTTTGACTAGAATAAGATCATCTCAAGGCTTTGCCTCATGGCTAAGGATGCTTAAAACTGTTTCCAAGTATTCATTGGCCACTTTTATTTGTTCTGTTAAGAACTGTCTTTTGAGTTCATCATCCCATTTATTGATTGGATTTAATCTTCGAATGTTTCACTTTTGTACTTTTTTATAGATTCCATATTGTGAATCCCCTGTCTGGTGTACAGTTGGCGAAGTTGGTTTTTCCTCGTCTGCAAGCTGTCTCTTCACTCTAGTGTCTGTCTGTCTGTTTTTATTTGCCGTGTCTAGCAGTGCTTTCAATAAAACAATTGTAGGAGGCTTGTAGACCAGATTTGACTTTATGCCTTCATTTGCCAACCTCTTCTCCCTTCCCCTCCCCTACTTTCTCTACTTCACTCTGTAGCCCAGCTTGGCCTAGAACTTACTATGTAGCCCAGACTCCATCAAATTTATGTTAGTCCTACCCTTGCTTCCTAAACGTTGGGATCACAGGTGTGAACTGGCTATTGACTTTGAATCTATGTAGGAATTGTGTAGCCAAGCATTTATCTGTTTCTGCCCTAATAAGCAGTCCAGTCCTTTGTAACTCACTGATAGTGATGATTTATCCAAGTATTTGCACTGGCCGACTGTTGAGGAAATGTATGCAAGGAATGCCCATGAAACCCGACTGAGACTCAGGACGATCATTAATGCAGCCAGTCTTTCTTGAGCACCTACTGTTCACTGTCTCAAGCCCTTCGTAGCCTTCCTTCTGTAAAGGTAATTACAGATACTTCAATTAAAATCCCTTCATTTTTATTGAAGGAAAGGAAAGAAAGGGAACAAAAAATTAATAAAGAAATGGAAGAGAAAGCAGCAAAGAAACTGGAGAAAGAACAGTTGCAAGAAAAAGCGAAAGCAAAATATCAAGAATGGTTGAAGAAAAAAAATGCTGAGGAGTGTGAGAAAAAGAAGAAAGAGAAGGTATTGTTAATTGAAGTGACCAGTCAGAATACATACTTTAGTGTTTCTATGTATATTTTAGAAACAAAAATATAGTCAGTTAACACTGTTTTAGTATAAAATACACAAACTATCCTTACTTCTGTTATTTTATGTTTAAGCTTCAAAAATAAATATGTATTTGTAGTAATCCTTGAAAATTATTAATAATCCTGTGGATATTTATCAGTCAGGTTCAAAATCTTTATTACTGCTTTTAACCATTTTTGATAGTTTTTAGTAGATGTTTTACTGTGTTTAAGTTGTTCTTCTAAGACAGACTTGCATTTTCTTGTTTTATGGATTTGATATCTTATTGTTGTTCATCAGTAGACACTTTAATGCCAAATCTTTGATCATGTTTACTTTTATTCTTTGATTATAGAAACATAGTTGAGTTTTATGGCCAGTGTGTCACTGGGGCAGAAAGCAACTGGGGGAAGACAAACAAACAGGAAGACTTGGCTGGAGTATTTAGTTACAGAATACCTTAGGGAATTCTCTGGTCTTGTCATTTGAAGGAAAAAGAAAAGCAACGGCAAGCAGAATTACAAGAGAAAAAGGAAATAGCAGAAAAAAAGTTTAAGGAATGGTTGGAAAATGCAAAAAATAAACCTCGTCCAGCTGCAAAGAGCTATGGTTATGCCAGTGGGAAGCTTACAGGTTAGTTTTTATGTCGTGTGGCTTACATAAGTATGGCTTGCAGAAGGAAATGCTATATAAATATTGTTTCTCTTTGATAGAAATAGAAATGTGTAAAAGTAATTTTTCTTTGAAATTATTGTTTTCTAGAATATTGTAACTATGTGTTGCTAAAGAAATGCTGTAAATTTTTGCATTTCATATATAAATATATTTCTTAAAGGCAACAGTTGCAAAACTGTACACTTACATTTTATTTTATTTTATTTGTTTATTTGTTTATGTTTCTTTGAAACAGTCTTCCTTTGTTGCCCAGGCTGGCCTCAAACTCAGGACCTTCCTACCTTACCTTCCTGAGTCCTGGGCTCACAGGTATTCACACATATGAGTCAACGATACCTTGTTCCCATGGGTCTTCCCGCCTTACTCCTATTTCCCTCTTTTGTCTTTCATGTTACAAGTGTTCCATTGTTTTGTCTTTCTCCCACCCCTTTAGATCTAGTCCTTCCCTCTCATGATCACCTTGCAGGATGTGGACACAGCATGCACATCTTCTCAGTTGTAAGTCTAGGCTTCACATGTAAGCACACATGAAGCTTATGTCTTTCTAGTCCTGCTTGTTTCACTCAACATGATTTTCAGTCCTATCCATTTTCCTCAAAATGTCATGACTTCATTTTTCTTTCTGCTAGAATAAAATTCCCATTGTGTATTTGAACCACATTTTCTTTATCCATTCATCTTTTGATGGACATGTAGGCTGATTCCATTTCCTAGCTATTGTGATTCATGCAACAATAAACATGGATGTACAAGTATCTCTATGGTATGTTGACTTTAAGTCCTTTGGGTGTATACTCCAGAGCTGGGTCATATGGCAGTTCTTTTTTTTTGAGAAACCTCCAAACTGCTTTCTAAAGTGGCTGTATCACTTTACATTGCCACCATCAGAGGGCTCCTCTTTCCCCACTCCCTTGTCAGCATTTGTTGTCTTGATGACAACCATTCTGACTAGAGTAAGATAGATCTCAAAGTGATTTTAATTGCTTCAAAACTAAGGATGTTGAGAACTTAAAAAAATATATATTTTGAGACAAAGTCTCATTGTGAGCCTAGAACTCACAAAGATGACCCACCTCTGCCTCCTAAGTGCAGTAATTAAGATGTACACCACCAAGCCTGGCAGCTTTGTCAAATCCCTATGACTATACTTATTTTGAGAATTCTGTCTTCAGTTCATCAGCCCATTTATTGACTGAATGTTTTGCTCTTTAAGTGTTTCATTTTGTAATTATTTTTAGATTAAGATTGTGAATCTTCCATGTAAAACTGTGTCATTGGCAAAGCCTTCCCTGTACCTGGAAGTTTTTCCGATCCTACCTGGCCCCACAGTCGGCAAAAATCTCTCCCAACTCATCCCACAGCTACTTGGTCCCAAGTAAACACACAGAGGCTTATATTACTTACAAACTCTATGGCCTATGGGTCAGGCTTCTTGCTAGCTAGCTCTTATAACTTAACTCAACCCATTTCTATTAATCTATATGTTGCCATGTGGCCATGGCATTACCGATCTGCTGGCATCTTGTTGCTCCTTAGGCAGTGGTTTGGCGTCTCTCCACACTATCCTTTCTCCTCTCACTATTTCTCTTGGATTTTCCTGCCTGGCTCCATCTTGCCCTGCCATAGGTCAATGCAGCTTTATTTATTAGCCAATGGGAGCAGCACATATTCACAGCATACAGAAAGATATCCCACATCACTTCCCCTTTTCTGTCTAATCAAAAAAAGAAGGTTTTAACTTTAACATAGTAAAATTACATATAAGAGAACAGTTGTCAAGCAAGAATTACAGTTACAATATCTATTCTATTTGTATTTGGCAAATGTAAAGAAAATATTCTAGCATCTATCCTATATTTGTGAGTCTAAAGTTTGATATCTAATTTATCTTTTATCATAACCAATGAAAATTATAACTATCTAGTCTTCAACTACACCAAAGACCCCAGAAGGATATAATATTACCTGAGTAAACAGGAAGTGTATTGCAAGCAATTTCCATAATTCTAGAAAGGACAGAGACAGCTGGCTGCCTGGACAGTCACCCAAAGTTCCTCTGCAACTTTGGGGCATCCATCTTCCACCTATAGGCCTAGAGTCTCTCAGTCACTTTTCCCTGTGTCCTTAGAATGTCTGGCAGTCTGCTCTGCAAAGCAGAAACCTGAAGGACCATGTTTTGGCAAAATTCAGTGGTCATTTTCCTATGGGTCCTGTATACAACATATTATCAAGCAGTCCAGGCAAGAGCAGTTTCTTGCCCAAATGGCTATTTTTGCCCTAAAGGAAGCAAACTCCATATGGAGTTTCTTTGATGTCTATCCTCCTCTTCGAAGCAATTGGTGCTGCCAGGAGCAGACATGTCTCATTGTCCAGAAAGTCTAAGTTTTTAAAACATTTTAAATGCCATATTCTGTAAGTCTTTGAAGTGTTTGAAGATTATCTACCCTAATTGAAATATATCTATGTATACCTAGAAAACTAGCATGACTATAAGTTTGATTATCATAAATGACTAATTATTCTGTATTTTTAATTATATATTACAATTTTAAATGAGTTGCATACACATAATACCTTAAACAAGAATAGAAATGTATGTATATAGTATAACAAAATTAACTTTAAATTTGTATCAATAAACCAAAATCCATAGCATTGTAAAACATTTCAAATAAGTTTTTGCTCTTTAAAAGTAGATTCAACAATTTGCTCTTTCATCCTTTCTATATCCCCTTTTCTTCTTTAGAAAGAGATTGCATTTATAATCAGCCACCTTTAAATAAAAATAAATATTTATAAACTATATGTTGGGAATTTGGGGTGTAGCTTCTCATACTACTTCCTGCTGGATGACAGTGCTAGCAATCTTATGGGGATCCTGAGAAAATTAAGAATTATAGTTAAATCTTGGCTGTAGTAGTCTGTGAGACTGTATCGACCTTTCAGGGGGTCTTGGTTGATCAAACCATATTAGCCTAGAAGCAATCCATACGTTTGCATCTTCTGTGGAAACAAAAGCAGAACCTTTTTTCCAAAGCAACGTATTCTTAGACACAAATTTTGAAGTCAAGATACTTTTAAAATATACATATAAATATTGGTTTAACTGAGTAGCCTTTACAGTCAAATGTCTCTCTGCAGTTAAAAAATCCCAGAGACAATATAATAATATGCAGTATCCGGATTCTTTGTGTAATTTTCATCTTTATATAGCTTAACTTTTATATTTTGTTGGCTCTTTAAAGACTTTATTTTTTAAAAACTATTTCTTTATTTAACTGCATATACTCCTTTTCCTCTCTCTTCCAAGCCTATGTACATTTTTACACACATTGTAAACAGTTTTATTCCATCTGAATCTGTCTTATTGTGAATCTGTTATCATTTTTTGACCATTGATTTAAACTGCAGTGTGGCTAGGACCTAAGCGGCAGCCCTGGCTGCTGGCTCCGCCCACCTCAGCTTCCCAACATGGCAGAGGTACATTTACCTCCAGCTCTGGAGAAACCATGCTTACTTACCACCTGACTCTGGGAATCAGTGGGTCTATGCCTCCATCCAGCAGCGTGTAGCCCAGAAACCCCTTTTTTTTTTCTATACTAGCAAAAGCTAAATCTACCATGCATTGCCCTGCACGGCTTGGAGACACCTCTGTGTACTGCAACAGGAATTCACCATGTTGTAGGTCAAGCCCACATGCCAGGAACCCGCCTTACTGTAGCTCAAGCCCACACACTGCAGCATCTCTTTTCACGGCTTGCCTGAGAGACCCAACTAGGAAGCTGTTTTTAGCTCCGTTTTAGAATCTCTTTTTAAAGCTTTCCCAGGTTTTGGGTGGAAATTCTTGGCCCACATTGAGTGCCACTCTGCCATTCTGCTTGCTTTCTTCACTCTGGTAATTGTTTCCTGTGCTGTACAGGAGCTTCTTAATATGGGGTCATCCCATTTGTTAATTCTTGGGATTATTTTCCTTGCTGCTGCATCATTTTGGACAATTCTTGTCTGTGCCTGTATCCTGAAGTGTTGTACCCATTTTCTTCTAGCAGTTTGAAAGTTTCAGGTTTCACATTAAAACCTCTTGTCCATTTTAGATTTATTTTTTGTTCAAGGTGAAAAAAGGGGCTCTGATTTCATTCTTTTGCTTGTATAAACCCAGTTTTTCCAGCACCCATTGTTACAGTTTGCATACTTAACTTTTTTTGGTTTTTTGAGACAGGGTTTCTCTGTGTAGTCCTAGATGTCCTGGAACCCACTCTGTAGACCAGGCTGGCCTCGAACTCACAGAAATCACCTGGCTCTGCCTCCCAAGTGCTGAGATTAAAGTTGTGTGCTGCCACTGCCCAGCCACAAACTTACATTTTCAAGCAATGACTTCTAATGATAGCAAACAAAAATTCTCATGGTTGGCATTGTAGTTCAGTGGTAGAGAGTAACTTTAGCATTTGCCTGACTCTGTGCTCAGGCTCTAGGACTCCAAAATAAAGTATCTTATTTATTGGACCATCGAACCTCAATTGAGATATGTTTGCAAGGTCATTTTGCTTTTTCTCTTTCTACCAGTCTTTATGGTAGAGCTTCCAGGGTCCAATGCATTCTTTTAGAAGAGTAGAATGCTAGACAGCACATGACCAAATGTACCCAGTTTGCCTTTAGGCTTGGTCTGATTATAATGGCAATGCATGTTTTTCTTTGTGCTTCATGTTAGAAACTCATACCTTGCTGACAGCTGCCTTCACTTGTTTAAGTGATTTATTATTAAATACTCCCATTCTGTTTTGTTCACACACTAGAACATACTGCAGACTTTGTTTTGACTGTCTTGGTGAAGTGTGTGTTGACATATCTTTGCAGTCAGTGTGGACTGGGAGTGTCTGAAAGACACATTCCTGCTGTCAGGACTAGACCTCTCTTTATGTCACAGGCTCATCTATTATGGATACTGAGCACTGGCATGGCATAAATTAAATTTTTTTTAAATTTTTTTGTTGAGAAAAATGATGATGATAAACAATTATTTTAACCAAATGACAAGATAGTAAAGTTAGGATGGAGATGTTGACTAGAAGTTAACTACCAAAATAATGGATTATTATCTCAATGCTTTTGGATTTGTGAACTTAATTTCACATGCTGTGCTTCTCTTGTCTCCATCCTTTATGTCCATATCATTGTTACAAATTGCACAGTACAGGGATTTCTGTCTCCACGGTGAGTGGAGGACTCAAAGCCAATTCATGGCATGTTCTTCCTGCATCCCATTATGGGTTGTCAGATGTCACCATTCTGTAAACACTTTGTGTGCATTAGCAGAAATGAATGCCAATTAGTGGTCAAAATCCTGAGTTGACAGTAATGCAGAAGTTGAATGGTTCTAAATTGGAATCTTAAGTTATTGTGGGCACTTATATATAATAAAGTCTTTATTTTTTATAAACTTTAGTATCTGATAAGGGACACTATCACATGATTAGCCATTTCCAAGACTGAATTAAGAGCATAAAGTTGTTTTGTTTTTTGGTTTTTTGCATAAAGGTTTTAAGAATTATAAAAGAAATTGCATAGCAAACCTTTGTAAACATTTTTATTTAGATAGGTTTTCACAGTATTATTCAAATTCTCTGAATTTTTAATGTTTGCTACAGTGATTACTATATTGGAACAATGTTATTTTTTTTTAAAACATTTCAGGCTTCAAGTTTTAAGTTAGTGTATTGATTTACCAATGATACTTTGTCCTGTTGTCATTTTAATATTTTTCTAGCAATTAAAATTTGATTTCTTTGATCTAAGAATTTTTCTTGTTCATTCTGATTTTTTAATGATTATAGGTTTTTATAGTGGAAATTCCTACCCAGAACCAACTTTTTATAACCCAATTCCATGGAAGCCAATTCATATGCCCCCTCCAAAAGAAACTAAGAGTGAATCCGGAAAGAAGCCTAAACGACCTGTGACGAGCCAGCCACTCACATCATCATCTCTAGCAGTTCATAAAGCCAAGAACAACCTTTGCCTTGGCACTCTGTGCCGCATACAGAGATAGAGCATGTGGACATTTCATAGCTTTCACCCTGGAGCTTCCGAAGCTTACTCAGAATAGTTTTTCTTAACACTTCTCAATCAGTAAGTCAACATTTGATGTGATAACTGACAGGTACCAAATTTTTAATCTGTATATGGAATCCTTAGAGCTAAAGATAGCTTTTACATTTTTGTTTTTATAAACTTTACAGTTGGATCTAATGATTGTATTGTAGTTTTTATTAAAACTAATTATTATATCAATAAACCAAAGGTTTTTCTTGTGTTCTTTTGCACTCTTATTATTTGCTTGTGATTTGTACCTGTGAACATAAGGTTTGTTCAAACAAGTATGTCTAAAGCTTACTTAAATGGGTTAGAAACCCAGAGTAATAAGCTTCAGTGTTTGCAATATTTGTTAATGGTTTTTAGTACAGTTTTCCATGAAGGTATTTTTTAACTTTACTTTTCTTTCTTACATTTATTTCTTTTTTGTGAGCGTGCATACCTGTGGCCATGCATGTGCCATAACATGTGTGGAGATCAGAGGATGACTTGGAGCAAGTCAGATCTCTACTTCTACTGTTTGGGTCCCAAGGGTTGAACTCAGGTCATCAGACTTGCACAGCAAGCACCTTTACCAGCCAAGTCATCTCATTGGTCCCCTGTGGAGATATTTTTTTAAAAACCTAACTGAAAGACTGATTTACAACACAGAAATAAGGGTTGGAGTTTTTAGGAGAAAATTTAAAATACTGTTTTGTGCTGCAGCTGTGAGACTGCTTTCCTAATGTTGAGACACTAATAATATTTTGTCACACTATATAAAATCCTTTTAATATACTAAGTATAATTGGATTGCTAGCTTTGAAATTAGGATCATCATTATATTATTTGTAATACTGGCCACCTTAAATGTTAAATAAAACTCAGAACTTTTTGATAAGTTATAAAAATCTCCATTTTTTTTAGAAGTCTATTTTTTTTTTAGGAGATGATCAAGAAACGAAAATTTATTTAAATGTAATTTCTATTTGGAATATATTCTGTTTTTGCTAGATTAGTAGTGTCAAGTTTATGGTGGTTGATAGTAGTAGTTGGTAAGGAAATATTGGTAACATCTTTGAATGGTATTCATGTCATCAAGAATCTAGGAACAGATATGAATCAATTTTATTGGGTCAAAAGTTGTAGAGGCCTGATCATTCTATTTGAAAAAACTTACTTTTATAGAGAGGATAGAAGATGAATAATTTTCCAGGGTGGCAATATTCTTATAGTTATACATATGCACCTGATTCCTAGACATTTTTAGATACATTTATAAACCTATTTCACAGGCTAGATTAGCACTTAGCTCTAACGCTTTAGTACAAATCATCATACTTTTCAAGAAGTTATTTAGCTATTAGTCACTGAATCAGAATCTTAATTATATTCTAATTGTAATGGGAAGTCTCTGGAAGATTTTATGCAGGATGTTGGCAAGATCTTGTCTATACTTTGTGATTATTCTGGCTGCTGTGAGGACGTTGGCCTGTAGTGGGACAAAGCAGAGACGCAGGAAAACACATTTGAGAGATTTGGGCAGTATCTACCAATATGTCCTGATGGTTGGATTAAGGTGGCAGCAGCTGCATGGTAGGAAGTGGGAAAGGATTCGGGAACTAGGGAGGTCTTTAAGCAATCTGTCGTGAATATTGCTAAATTTGCAATACCAACATCAACAAGAAACTTGATCAGGTTGCCCAGCGAGAATTTAGACAGTAAAAAGGAGCTGATAAAGTAGCCAGCAAAGATCCTAAAAAGGAGCATCTAATAAAGTAGAAGAAAACTCAGGCCTTCACTGCCCTATCCTCTACCCTGGTGTGTTTATGGAGACATCTTTCTGTGAGACTTTTTTGCCATCCTTGAGTAATTTTGATGGTTCCTTAGTAATTCTGATGGTTCCTTATTTTAAATTATAGGCATTCTTCTGTTTGTCTTTTATGTTATAACTTCTACTTCCTTTGTGGACATACCTTCTCTAAGGGCATTAGCTAAAATTACTTTTTCATTTCTCTAATTATCTGTGTTTCCTCTGGAACCCCCGATTTTCTTTAATCACTCTTATTTTTGTTTTTGGAGATTTTCCTCAAATGTTTGTCAATCCCTGCCTCACTTGACACACCCATTGTAAATCTCTACCCATGTGTAATAAATAATGAAGGAGCTGGCTAGAAGTGTCTAAGCATGGCAAGGGTTGGTTGATGCTGGATTTCAGGTTATGCTGGAGACCTTCAAACACCTGAAAGCCTTTCCTCCTCAGGGTGTTCATTTGCTGATAGAGAAGTCTGGCTGGCCTAGGAAGCTTCTGTGTATTATAGCTAATTACACAAACTCACTTTACCTAGTTTTCTTTCTAGCTAGTGTATAAGCTATGCTCTCCCTAGTGCCTGGGATGGGAGTAGGGATATCTGTATTCTGAGCTATTTGAGGTTTCTTTAGGCTTAATTTATTTTTTTTAATTGTGTGTGTGTGTGCACACACGCATGCCCACGCATGCTCACACATGCATACACTCAACAATGTAAGGGTAGAGGTCACAGGACAACCTGTGGAGGTGCTTGTAGAACCACAAGTTTGCTGTCCAGGTAAGAAACTGAGTTTAACAGTAGATTGTTTTTCATGGCTTGGGTGCAATAAGTGCTAGGAAGCCCCACTTTCCTAGCCCCTTGCTAGATTCTAGGTTACAAATTCTGACCTGAGACCTGTTGGAACCTGCATGCTGGCCGGGGTGAAATTTCAAGTGGTATTTTCCTGACGCTCAAGCTATGAGGACATATGTGGAGGTGGCTAGCCTTCTTGGGGAGTCAAGCACTCAGGAAGAAGTGATTAAGCTGAAATACAGGTCGAAAGGCCCCCAAATAAATAAAACTTAGAATGTGATTATCTGGAAGGCTGGGGGAGGGGGTAAAGGAGTGGCTTTAGAATGTTGGTGGGTCCACATACAGTCTTTCAAAGACCAGTGGTAGGTGACAGGTCAGCATTTGAACATCAAATTGTCTTTCAGACAACTTGAATCAAATGACACATTACTCCAAAATTGCAGAAGTTTCCAAATTCTTAGTGATTTGCGAAGAAAACTTAGAATCCCAAGGGAAAATATACTTTGAATTTTGATGGCAAAAACACACCATCATGGCTCCAAAAGTCTGAAGTGATACAGATGGAGCTATGTATTAAAAAAAAAAAAAATGAATTTGCTAGTTCTATAATTGGCAGTTCAAAACTTGCACTTTTCATGGACTTGTTTACTATACACACGGCCCAGGTAAATAATAGTACAGAGCAGGTATGCCAATAAATCACACTTAGTGACCAAAAACTAATTTTTTGTAATTCAAGAAGATACAGCTAATATTGTGTGCTTACTGTACTAGTAATGTCTTAAATCAAGTTCATATGTTAGTTTAAGAAAAGAAAACCATGAAGTTACTTTACAGAAAATATTTACTTACTGCTATTGACAGTGGCAATCTGCCTGAGAAAAGCTTTCAGAACAGGCAGTAGATTTCCTCTTAAAATCAAGAAGAAATAACACACCAGGAGAAAGTGCTGCCTTAAGTTCAGAAGTCATCAAGGAACATCCCATCTTCTTCCCTACGAGTATCCATGCTCCGTGCCCACTCCAGCTCTCTTTCTCATACTCAGTGAATTGCATTTTTCCTCATCATGGAGGAACCACCTGCAGGCCAGAGAGAAGGGGAAGCTACCACTATTGCCTGTTGGTGGCAGTGCAGGGTGTTTGTGGATGTGGGATGTTTTGTTCGTTTTAATAGGTTTACACAAATGATCACCTAGTGCCTACCTCTCTACAACTCATATACTCTCAGCCAAGGCTTTCCTCCCAGAGTGTAGTAGTTTTGTTTGTTTGTTTGTTTGCTCTTTTGGGGCCCACATCCAGCTCCTTATCTCCGTATTCTTACTTAGGAATGACCGGCCTTAGCTTGGTTTGTTTCTAGCTAGATTTTCTAACAAATTATCCTGTTTCTCTTTAACTATGTTTTGCCTCTGGGCTTTTTACCTTTCTTTATTCTATATATCTTTCTTTCCTTCTTTCCTTCTTACTCCATCCATGGCTGGCTGTGTGGCTGGGTGTCCTCCTCTCCTTCTCCTTTTCTCGACCCTCCCTCTTCCTAGGTTTCTCATACTATTTATTCTCTCTGCATGCCAGCCCTGCCTATTTCTCCTACCTAGTTATTGGCCATTCAGCTCTTTATTAGTCCAATCAGGTGTTTTAGACAGGCAAAGTAAAACAGCTTTACAGAGTTAAACAAATGCAAAATAAAAGTATGCAACACATCTTTGCATCTTTAAACAAATATTCCACAGCATAAATGAATGATACACATCTTAAACTAATAATTCCACATCACCATAGGTTGAAACAAAAATGCCTTAGTCACTGTTCGATTTCTGTGAGGAGACACCATGAACACTGAAACTCTTATAAGAGAAAACATTTAATTGGGGGCTTACTTCAGTTTCAGAGGCTTAGCCCATTATCATCAAGGCGAGAAACATAGTGGAAGGTGTGGAAGGCATGGTACTGGAGGAGCCCCTGACAGTTCTATATCTGGATCCACAGGCAGGAGGCAGAAGAAGAGATACTGGAGGGCCTGGTTTGGGCTTTTGAAATCTCTAAGCCCACCCCTAGTGATATACTTTCTCTAACGAGGCCACACCTCCTAATCCTTCTCAAGTATTGCCACTCTCTGATGACTAAGCATTGAAATATATGAGCTTATGGGTA